CTACCCCCCCCCGGCCCTGCACCCACCTCTTGAAGACCATCCTGACTTCAGAAGACTCCTGTCCTCATGTTTATCCCCACCCACCTCAGTACTTTTTAAAAAAAATTGTCATAAAATGCACATCACATAAAATTTACCATCTTAAGCATTATCAACTGTGCAGTTCAGTAGTGTCAAGTATACTCGCATTAATGGATAAAGTCACCTGTGACAGTATAGTGTAAAGAAAGGGAATGCTTTCTAAAAAGACTTCCCAGATTTTCATTTTGAATTTTAAGTGGCAATTTTGAATTTCAGCTGCCAGTGCCAACCTCAAACCTGTAATTCTTAATATAGACGTTAAGATTGTACTCGTAATTATGATCAGATAAATGTTAATTGATTTTCCTAACTTGGTGTCAGTTTCTAAGGATAAGTCTCCTCTTAGATGCCATAATTAAATGTGTTTAGAGCTGATGATAAATTTCTTAATCTTAATTATTCTGGGAGTATTGTCCTAGAGACATTATGTTCTTATGAAAATTCCAAAAACCAAAAATGTCACGGGGTATTTTGACATAGCATAGTGATGGTGGGGAGAAGAAATGCATGTGACTGAGAGAGTCACTAATTCAGTGTTTCTTAAAACTTTTTTTTTTTTTTTCTGCGGTACGCGGGCCTCTCACTGTTGTGGCCTCTCCCGTTGTGGAGCACAGGCTCCGAACGCGCAGGCTCAGTGGCCACGGCTAACGGGCCCAGCCGCTCCGCGGCATGTGGGATCTTCCCGGACCGGGGCACGAACCCGTGTCCCCTGCATCGGCAGGCGGACTCTCAACCACTGCGCCACCAGGGAAGCCCCCTTAAAACTTTATTTCATCAACCCCACCCCCAAAGCCTTTTAAACTTTTTTTTTTTTAAATAGTGCCCCAATGAATTTTTTTTGGCCGTGCCACACGGCTTGTGCGATCTTAGTTCCCCAACCAGGGACTGTACCCGAGCCCTCGCCAGTGAAAGCATGGAGTCCTAACCACTGGACCGCCAGGGAATTGCCCCAATGAATTTTAATATCATAGATATGCTGTATATGTATTATATCTGCTTTATACATGAAAAGACTAGGGTTTATTTTTGGTCCTACTTGAGGGTGACACCACCCCCATTTGAGAATGCATATTCTAATATATCTTTTTTAAAAGGAGAGGGGACCTAGTGATAGACATTCGCATTGGCAGATGTATCTCTATGTGTGTCCAAATCTTGAAGCAGTATTTTTTTCCGCCAGCGTCACTAGAAAATAGAAGAACTTTGTTTTCTGCCAGTCACCATCATTTAACAGCTGTGCTTTATACCCTTCCCACCATAGGCATCAGACAGATCATTTCCCACTGGCTTTGGAGGTCTTGCCAGATTCTTACTTGATTTATAAATGTATCACAAATAGAATCATTCAGGTTCCTTCTCATCTATAAAAATCAATTAAAATCCTAGGTGAATGAATTTATTTTAATTAAAGTTGTTCATCATAACACGTTGATAAATGGCATTGAAATTTTACTGATGAGTCGATTGTCATATTCAAGTAGGCTGCTTGCAGGAACGGATAGAACTATTGGTTTATTTAAAATGTAACACAGATGCCAAAGTTTTAGTGTACATTATTACCTAGACTACTGAATTATCTTTGTAAAAATTTCCTCAGATGCTATTTACAGGTGCCATGTAAAATAGGCTAATGTGCATTTTATTTCTATGAGAATTCTGGTAAACTGCCTTGCTATGATTTTTCATGTAAAGTATGTCCTCCAGTATTGATATAGAGTATGTCTATTCACCAGCCTACTGAAACCTAGTGGTTTAAAATATGATTATTAAGAAATAAGTTTTTGGGCTTCCCTGGTGGCACAGTGGTTGAGAGTCCGCCTGCCGATGTACGGGACATGGGTTCGTGCCCCGGTCCGGGAAGATCCCACATGCCGCGGAGCGGCTGGGCCCGTGAGCCATGGCTGCTGAGCCTGCGCATCTGGCACCTGCGCCCCGCAATGGGAGAGGCCACAACATTTCGCGTACAGCAAAAAAAAAAGCGATAAGTTTTTAAGAAGACTTTATTTAAGTGGGATCTAGAAGATGTGATAAGTACTTTTGACTTCAAAATAATGAATTTATAATTGGCCTCTGTCTAAAAACTTGAATTGCAGTGGATTTGTACCTAAACACAATCTTATGCGTAATTGTATGAAATTTGGTATGGATCATAAAGGCTTTCCCTTCCCACTTTTTTTCCTTCTATTTAACTGGGCTATTAGCAGCCATATCAAATCCAATCATTTTAATTTTCCAATGCACCTATAATCCTTTTATCCTTATTCTAAGATTATCATTTCACCTCTTAATGAATTGAAAAAATGGTGAGGATACTTTACAAATTCACTCAATCACTGTCAATTTAGTAACTTAATAACCTTAGTTAAAGCTCAACTGCTTGTGCCTACTATAGAGCCACTGAGGAGACGTGGCAACAGATCTGCTCAGTCCTTTGCTTTGTAGACTTTATCTAGAGGGACCAGTCAATATCTTATTAAACTATGATATGATTAGAACGGTTATGGTTGTATTATTGCAGGTCTGGGAACTATGCATTAAATGTGTCTAATGAATTTGGGGTGCTACAAAGTTATCAAATATAACTGAGCTGTTTCATTTCAGGGAATTTCCAGTCAGTGTAACCATTTTAAAATATTTTAGGATGAAAATAGTTTAAACCACTTTCTTAAGCTTGAAATCCTGAAGGCTGTGCTTCAAGTTGACTTAGAGGTAAACCTATTGGGGAAATAAGTGACCCACTTACAGACTGAAGCCTCTATTACTTCAGAAAGATGTTCTACATTTTCCGGCATCTTAAGAATAAAATTTTATCTCTGTTAAGTACACCTCATTTCCATTCTAGTTAGGACTAATGGATCCTCGTGTGGCAAAGAGCTGAAGAATGGAGAAAACTGGATAGCTGATAATCCAGATAGTTCCTAGCGCTCTGAACAACCTCCCGTACAGCCATCCAAGCCAGTAATTACATTGCTGCATTCTTTCTTTGTGAAATTTGCTTCTTGTCTGTACCCTTGAAATTGAATAACATTTCATGAGACTCCTTAAAAAAAAGAAAAGTATACTTGCATTGCTATGAACCATCACCACCATCCATCTCCAGAACACTTTTCATTTTGCAGAACTGAACTGTGCTCATTAAATGGTCACTCCTCATTTCCCCCTCCCCTCAGCCCCTGGCAACCACTATTCTACTTTCTGTCTTTAGGAATTTGACTCCTCTGGGACCTCATATAAGTGGAATCACAAACACAGTGGAATCACACTGTGTTTGTCCTTTTGTGACTGGCTTCTTTCATTTAGCATCATGTCCTCAAGGTCTATGCATGTTGTAGCCTGTGTCAGAACTTCCTTCCTCTTTTTTTTTTTTTTTTTTTTTTGCGGTACGCGGGCCTCTCACTGTTGTGGCCTCTCCCGTTGCAGAGCACAGGCTCCGGACGCGCAGGCCCAGCGGCCATGGCTCACGGGCACAGCCGCTCCGTGGCATGTGGGATCTTCCCGGACCGGGGCACGAACCTGTGTCCCCTGCATCGGCAGGCGGACTCTCAACCACTGCGCCACCAGGGAAGCCCAGAACTTCCTTCCTTTTGAAGGCTGAATAATATCCCATCGTATGTGTAGACCACATTTTGCTTATCCATCCATCCATCAATGGACACATGGGTTGCTTCCACCTTTTGGCGAATAATGCTGCTGTGAACATGAGCATACAAATGTTTGTTCGAGATTCTGCTTTCAATTCTTTTTGGATCTATACCAGAAATAGATTGCTGTATCATAGAGTAATTCTATTTCTAATTTTTCACAGACACAATCTTTTTAATACCTACATAATACTCCTCTATCAGTTCCTTTTATTGTTCCCCTATTGAAGAACAATAGTTTCTTTAACCATTTTCCTCCCAAAGGTTTTTTTCCTCCATTTTCATTATTACAGTGATACAACAAGTATCCTTGTATACACTTCTTACAAAAGTTGACCCTTGAACAACATGGGTTTGAACTGCATGGGTCCACTTAAATGTGGATTTTTTTTTCAAGAGCAAATACTACAGCACTACATGATCCGTGGTTGGTTGACTCTGCACATGTGGAGCCACGGGTAAGGAGAAATCACGTACATGTAGGGCAGACTATAGGTTAGAAATGGATTTTTGAGTGCAGAAGGTCGGCACCCCTAACCCCTGCATTGTTCAAGGGTCAATATGTTTTCTTATGAGTATTCTTAACTATATTTTTAGACTTTTTGTTTTTTTGGCTGTGTTGGTTCTTTGTTGCTGTGCATGGGCTTTCTCTATTTTTAGACATTTTTAAGCTCATTATAACAAGAAAACATGAAAAGATGCATGAGATTAAGTTAATAACAACCCTCCCATCTTACTACTATCAATCCTCTGCCCATGAGGTAATTGGAATAACAGCCTGTTTCTTACATTTTAAAAAGTTCTCAAACGTGTGCACATGTACATATCTATATATACATATGTATGTGTATTCATCCGTCCAAAAGTGTTCAATGTATATATAAGCAACTACATATAAATTATGTTCTCCCTCTTTCTTTATAAAACTGGAACCATGCTATGTACAGTGTTCTGCACGGACTTCGTTTTTAAGCACTATGTAATGGAGATTGTTCCAAATTAGAACATAAAGAGCTTTGGTAATTCCCTGGCGGTCCAGTGGTTAAGACTTTGCACTTTCACTGCCGAGGGCCCGAGTTCGATCCCTGGTTGGGGAACTAAGATCCCACAAGCCGTGTGGCCAGAAAAAAAAGAGGCTTGTAGAAGCTCTCTGTATTCTGGAAATATTAATCCTTTTTCTCATGTATGTGTATACTGGTTTTACTTTCTTGGGGTATCTTTTTCCATACACTAATATGAAATGTTACACAATCAAATATATCTAATTTTTCTTTTATGACTTAAGAGTTTTGAAAACGTGCTGAAGAAAACGTCTCCTCCCATCCTCAAGGTTATATAAATACTCCCCCTCTACATTTTCTTCTAGTATTTTTGTCGTCTCTATTTAAAGATGTTTTATGTTTCATATGTTTAATACATTCAAGTTTATTTTTGCTTTTGGTAGGAGGTAGAGGTCAAGTTTTCTTTTTGTTTTCCAGATTATGTCAATACAGTCATTCTTAAAAAGCTATCCCTTATCCACTGAATTGTTACCTTTGTTATATATCATACTACCACACACATATAGACTATTTTTTAGTCTCTTCAACTGTGAAATGGGAATTAGACTTATGTAATGTTAAAGATGGAAATGACGTTCCATAGCAATGTCTCTGTTATGGTCTGAATGTTTGTGTCCCTCTCAAATTCATATGTGCACAAACCTAACATGAAAGGTGATGGTATTAGGAAGTGGGGCCTTTGGGAGGTGATGAGGTCATGAGGGTGGGGCCTTCATGAATGGGATTAGTGCCCTTATAATAGAGACCCCACAGTGCTCCTTTGCCCCTTCCACCAAGTGAGGACACAGTGAGAGAAGTCTGCCACTGGACAGGGGGTCCTTCCTTGACCCTGCTGGCCTCTGATCTCGGAGCTCCAGCCTCTAGAACCATGGAGGTTAATTGCTATTGTTTAAACCTCCCAGTCTATGGTATTGCTATAGCAACCCTAACTCACTACGACAGTCTCTAAGGTCCCTTCAAGATCTACATTTCTTTGTTAAGAAGGAGAAAATGAATTATGATCTGCAGGGAGGAAGAGGGGTGAGACCCGAGCGGTGGAGGAAAGCGCGGGACATGGTCGGGGGACCCTTACACCGTGGAGCTTCATGTAGAGGCCGCAGGCGTTGCACACGGGCTCGCCCTCAGCGTTGCGGCGCCACAGAGTGGTGGTGGTAGTCTGGCAGTTGGCGCAGGAGAGGCCCACTCGGCGGGAGGCGGACTGCAACACAGGAGACAGACCCTTCAGGTCCAAGGACAAGGACATGGCAGGCGCCACAGCATCTCGCTTCACCGGCAGCGAGTGTGGGGCATGGCTGTGTGAGAGTCTCAGACCAGCCACCTCACCGGACGCTCGGATGCCGCGTCCCTAAGCCTCTCCTGGGGGCGTGGGAGCAAAGGGGCTGTGCTGCAGGGGATGGCAGATCCTGGTCATAACTGCGGCGTCAGCAACATTATCAGTCACTCGCGTCAGGGAAAAGCCCAGCAAGCCCTGCACACTGTAGGCAGAAAAGCTTCTCCCCAAAGTAGAACGAATCCGGGCCTCAGGGGCCGGGAGTGAGTGGGGGTGAGGAATTACTGTGTCCGAGTGTCTTCAAAGACTGACCTCAAGAAAGGGAAGCATCAGGGTTTATCCCCTCTGCTCTTCTTTCCCGAATATCTGTGGAAAGCTAGTTCGAATTGGTCAAAATCAAATTTTAGCAGAAAAGACCAGGAAACTAGGAGACAAAAACTTGGTTCCAACTCTTCCCCAGCCACAGGGCCCAGCACGCCCCACATAATCTCCCTGGTCTTTGGGTTTATCAACGGATCAACTGAAAACAGGGTACATCACAACACAAAAAAGATGAATTAGCTTCCTCGTGGAGTTGATGTGAACAGGCGATACACCAGACAACGCTGGGTCAGGGAGCAGGAAGTCTGGACTCTGGTCCCCGAGGGGAGACTCAGCATCTAAGTGACCATGGACAAGGCCGTTAGCTTTTCGGAGCCTCATTGTTCACTTCTGCATAATTAAGGGGTTGAACTAAATGGTCTGGACCATCCTCGTAGCTCAAGCCAACTCTGAAGGTGTAAGAAATTACTATTTGCCACTCATCCAGCCCTTCAACCTCCATCTTCTCTGAAACATGACTTGAAGCCCCAAACTCAAAACCAGGAATTTCCCACCAAGACCGAGCCCTGAAGCCAGGAGCTGACAGGAGAGAAGCCTGGCTGCTGGGCGCCCGGCACTGGCTTACCAGGCGGCGCTGGGGCTTGATGAGGGGCCGGTTGATGCCATTCATCTTGTGGTAGAGGCCGCAGGCGTTGCACAGGTAGTGTCCCGTCCCATCCCGCCGCCACAGTGGGGTGGACATGGCCCCACAGTTGACACACTCTCTGCCTTCCGAGAAGTCGTCAAACATATCTACTGGGTGGGAAACAATACAGAGGATTAGTTTTCTGTTTATGCCAGAAATCTCACGGCAGAGAATCTAGACACCAAGGAAATAATGCCCTCTCCTTGCGAGGAGTGGAAGACGGATCTCTTTGGGCTGCCTTGCTTTTCCTTTCTCGGCCCTAACCCTTGGGAACCGGCTCAGAGGGCTGTCCTGCCAAGTGGACCTTACCCCCGGCATCCCAGACACAGCAGGCTCTCCCTGGTCATGAGAAAGGGAAGGGAGTGTGGCAGAGACCACGAGCGCCTGGATTTCTTTCTCTTCAGAGCCTGGGTGGCGGGGGTGGGGGTGTTTCGCCTAACACTGAGTTCCACTCAAGACCTTCTTTCTCTCCTTTTTCCCTTTCAAAATTGAGATTCCATTTCCTTTTCAAGAAAAATATAATAAATATTTACTTCGGGACAATTAAATGCTGGAATGTGTTAAAAATATATAGAAATCATACATAATCCTGTAACTCAAAGATCACCATGTTATTAACATTTTGTTCTGTTAGATCCTTTGCAACGTTTTATATATCGACATATTTTTGTCTACTTGAGGTCAAGCTGTATCATTTTGAGCCCGTTTTTTCACTTCATACCAAGGCATTTTCCCACATTAGAAATTCTTTATAAACATATTTTAGTGTATATTATCCCATGCTTGTACTGCCCCATCCTTTAACTATTCTCATTGAACTTGTACTTAGCCAGTTTCTGACTTTTGTAGACACCGCTCATTTTGAAAACTAATCTTAGCATTTCTGGTTATTCCTTAGGATACTCCCCTAGATGCAGAATTACTGAGCCAAAGGGACTATCTTTTTCTGAAAGTTCTCGAAATTTTCAAACTTTCCTGCAGAAAAAGGCTGCAATTTATTTTCCTCATTTCAATGTATCTGTATGATATGCTGTGTCATAGTTTGACATTCTTCTTGCTTATTGGAACATAAAATAAAGGTGCATATTATGAGCAATGGTGCTTTAGAGTGGAACCCGTCCACAGGAACGTGGCCATCCCTGCCATTTCCCTGCACTCACTCACAGGCCCCCTCCCTCCCCATCACCTTTGTCTTCCATGTCTATAGAACTTAACAATTGACTTATCTCACTCCTGGCCATTTCAGTCATCCTGCTGAGACAGGCTGGGCCAGTTTCCTTATTCCTTGTGATCTACATAAAGTCTGGCTCAGAACTTCCAGAAGTCTCTGACTCCATGTATACAAAACGCTTCCTATTTTGAAAGGTTTTATATCTTTTCTAAATTTTCTGTCCCTAAATACAGCCACCCTGGTGTTCAGATTATTCTTGTCCTGCGACCAGAGGCAAAAGTGGAGTTTTCTCTA